AATATTTTATTATGTGTATGAGTGTATTGCCTGCAAGTATGTGAGTGCACCCGTGTAGTGCAGTGCCGCGGAGGTCTGAAGAGGGCTTCGGATTGCCCTGGAACTGGAGTTAAGGATGGTTCATAGCCACCTTGTGGGTGCTGGGAATTGAACCCAGGTCCTCTGCAAGAGCAGTCAGTGCTCTTAACCTCTGGGCCATCTCTCCAGCCCCATGTTTTGTTATTTTTATTTTATGTGTATGTGTGTATTGCCTGCATGTAGGTAAGTGCACCCGTGTCGTGCAGTGCCTGCGTAGGACAGAAGAGACTGTCACACCCCCTGAAACTGGAGTTACGGACAGTTGTTAGCTGCCATGTGGGTGTTGGGATTCGAACCTGGGTCTTCTGCAAGAACAGTCAGTATTCTTATCCACTGAGCCACCTCTCCAGCCCCATCTCCCCCTCCCATCTCTTGTGCTTTCACCTCCCATGTCCTGGAGGCCCACTGAGGACACAGGGTGTTCTTGGTCTAGAAAGAGGGTTTTGATCATCCACGTAGGCAGGAAGAGAGTGGACCCCATCAGTTCTTAGAGCCTTGCTTAGTGCTGGGCATATGGTAGGCATTTAATAAAGGCTGCATGTATGTAGTAGGAAGTAAATAGTTTTGCAAATGGCAGGGGAATAGTTTTTTTATTTATTTATTTATATGTATATATGTCTCTGTGTGGATATGTACATGTGAGTGCATGTTCCCACAGAGGCCTGAAGAGGCCATCAGATCCCTTGGAAGTTAGAGTTAAAGGTGGTTGTGAGTCACCCAGTATGGGTTATGGGAACCAAATTTGGGCCCTGTGCAAGAGCAATACTCACTCTTAATCACTCAGCCATCTCTCCAGCCCTATTATTTATTCTATTTTGTTTTTATTTATATATACATTTGTGTGATTGTCATATGTATGGGGGTGCCTGCAGAGGCCACAAGAGGGTGTCAGATCTGGAGCTGGAGTTATGGGAGGTTATGAGCTGTCTTATGTGGGTGCTAGGAATCAAACCTTGGTCCTCTGGAAGAGCAGCAAGTGCTCTTAACTGCTGAGCCATCTCTCCAGCCCCTATGTC